CAGTTTCTTATCTGCTGTCCGTACTTTTGACAGAGCACTTATGGTTTATAACCGTGTGCAGTGATGCTGGTTCACATCTCTCAGCTTTTTTACCCCAAGAAGACTAAATCTGGTGATTTCAAATTGTGACACAGTCCCATAAATGTCCAGATATCCGCATTTATCCTGTTCTCGAAAAGAAATCAAATGCCTTTGATTGGATCCGCCTGCACAGTGTTTAGTAAGCGAATATACTGACTTAGGATAGCATTGGGCAGGGTTTCCTTATGTCCCCATAACTTATTTAAAGCCATGTTGACATCAAATGTTCCTGAATGCTTCAGTGATAGAGGTCACAGCATGAGTAACCCGATACATGTTTATTTTCTACTCTGGGAAATGTATTTAATTTAATGCTTCACCTTGTTCATGTTTAAATTTCTTAATATATTTGCAATAAATTAAAAAATATATACAAGTAAATAATCCCCCCCCCCCCCCCCCCCCCAAAAAAAAAAAAATTTTTTTTTTAAATATTTAGTGACCTCTGTAATTAGATTTTTTTTTTTTTTTGATACAGATTTTTGGGGGAACTTGCAATGGGTTTGATGCTCATTTGTTTTAGCATTCGGGGGGCGAAAGGTTAAACAACTGCAGGGCAAAAATCCTCTTACCCTGAAGAGCAGTATGTTCATTTTTTTTCCTCTTTATCAGTATTATTAATGTTATTATTGTTATTATTATTATTTAGCAGCAAAGTATTCTGTTTAAGGACAGTTATTAAAAAAAAAAATCTGTTGAGGCCAGAAATTTGTATTTTAGAGATGGCTAAAATGGCTTTGGACAGATGAAGAGAATAATCTTCATGTTTGGAAATAGAGTAAGGACCAAAGACAGCTTATCACAAACATCAGAATGGGCCACACATTTTGTCCACACATAATTTTGGGCCACACATTTTGTCCACACATAATTTTGGGCCACACATTTTGTCCACACATAATTTTGGGCCACACATAATTTTGGGCCACACTATGATTTTGGGCCACACATAATTTTGGGCCACACATAATTTTGGGCCACACATAATTTTGGGGCCACACATAATTTTGGGCCACACATAATTTTGGGCCACACATAATTTTGGGCCACACATAATTTTGGGCCACACATAATTTTGGTGCACACATAATTTTGGTGCACACATAATTTTGGGCCACACATAATTGTGGGCCACACATAATTTTGGGCCACACATAATTGTGGGCCACACATAATTGTGGGCCACACATAATTGTGGGCCACACATAATTTTGGGCCACACATAATTGTGGGCCACACATCATTTTGGGCCACACATCATTTTGGGCCACACATAATTGTGGGCCACACATAATTGTGGGCCACACTATGAGAGGAGAACAACTGGGAAAGATTGAAGAAAAAACAGACAGACTGAAACAGCGAGAGAACATTCTTGACAGCCCCTTGTCATGGGTTGGAAAGCTGTCAGCTCACACAAGTTGGCAACATACTTGATGAGCATGTTTTCCATAAACTTGGTAATGTTACTTGTAACTATGGTTAGCTAACAGCTGTGTGACACTGAACAAATACTTGCATGGATGCAGAAAGTAGGAAACCTACAAATTTATACAGGCCATAATGACAAGTTCTCTACCCTATGGCAATACAAATTGTTTATTTGTTAAGTTATTAATGTATTCTCTATTTCTTATTTATGATTGGCATGTAAAAGGTTTTGAAATTGTTACAGAAACTAGATGATAGATGGATATCACTGTCATTAACTCTTTGAGTCCCAAGGATTGCATCCAATGTTCATAGATTCCTACCTAGAAACCCAATGAATGCAAGATGCGCCGATTTAACGTCTCTTTTGATTTCCCCTTGGGCCTGTGATGCTAAACCCCCTGGGATTCAAAGAGTTAAATGGCTACATTGTAAGATAAATCAGAAAAAAAAACATTTAGAAACGTCGTCAAGGGAAGTTATCCAGGCAGCAGTTCTTTATATCGTTTTGACAGCAGTCATTTCCCCTTATTTCTATTACCTTTTGCATTGTCATTTAGTCTGATTTCTTGTTCATACCATTTATTTATAATTGAATATATTCGTTTTAGATACTTCTTCTCCTTCCTTTTTGTCACCTCCATTTCCTCTAACCTCTCCTGCCTGTGCTTCTACTTCCTTTTTGCTAAGCTCAGACTGCTTCTAAATTTATTTACTAGAACAGCTATAACATTGTTGTAACAATCAGAGATAACTTCAGGATAAAAGTATCAGATTGGGGACTTGATCAGTGATATCTATTTTATGTATATCAGACCAGGGATAATATTGTCTTGATATACCAGATAAATGATAACTTGTCTTGTGTACTTGATCAAAGATAATATTCTTTGGATATACCTGACAAATGATAACAGTTTGTCTTGTGCACCAGATCAGAGATAACATTAGGTTGATATACCAGATAAATGGTAATATTCTGTCATGTCTGTCGGATTAGAGATAATATTCTTTTGATATACCAGAAAAATAATAACTTTCTGTCTTGTGTACCAGACTAGTAATAATATTCTGTTGATATACCAGATAAATGATAACTTGCTGTCATATATACCAGATTAGAGATAAAATTCTGTCATTTACACCAGATCAGAGATAACATTCTGTTGATATACCAGATAAATTATAACTTTCTGTCATATCTATTAGATCAGGATAACATTATGTTGTTATACTAGATAAATGATAACTTTCTGGTAATCTACTAGATCAGAGATAACATTTCCTTGATATACCAGAGAAATGATAACTTTCTGTTATGTCTCCCAGATTAGAGATAACATTCTGTAAATATACCAGAGAAATGATAACTTGCCTTAAACTATATTAAATAATTATAACTTCCCATCATTCTTTAAAATCACAGATAACATTATGATTGCCAGATTAGATGATTGATAACATTTAGCTGCTTTTTATAAAAATGTGAAGATAATGATGTGATATCTGCTTGGATTTCTATGCCTGCATGATTGCTTTCGTCTTTGTAGCTGCCAGTTATTTGTAGACTACATCAACCTGGACAAGACAATTATTCACTGTGTCATGTCTCAGATACTTGTCTGTGTTGGCATGATTGCTTTCGTCTTTGTAGCTGCCAGTTATTTGTAGACTACATCAACCTGGACAAGACAATTATTCACTGTGTCATGTCTCAGATACTTGTCTGTGTTGGCATGACATTTGTAGTGATTAAAACAAGACAAAGGAATTTAGTATAACTGCTGATTGTTTTGTTGGGTGTGACATTTTGTCACATCATGTTGTTTGCAGGCGTCATGCAGATAGTTCAGAATACAAGTTTACTGCTGGTTGTTTAATTGTTAATAACAAGTTCTTCTTTGCCTTTATTATTTACTGATACATAATGTGTGAGTGTGCACGTACGTGCGTGTGTGTTTCAGTTTGTTCACTGATACACGAGTGTGTGCCAGTTGTGTGTGTGTTTGTTTTTCCACCTTGGGCAGTGTGTATTTGTTTGTATGCTGTCCCAGCTGATTGCAAGCTTGCCAACCCAACTGGTGTCCATACTTGCTGTCCCAGCTGATTGCAAGCTTGCCATCCCAAATGGTGTTCACACTTGCTTTCCCAGCTGATTGCAAGCTTGCCATCCCAACTGGTGTTCACACTTGCTGTCCCAGCTGATTTCAAGCTTGCCATCCCAGCTGGTGTCCACATTTGCTTTCTCAGCTGATTGCAAGCTTGCCATCCCAACTGGTGTCCACACTTGCTATCCCAGCTGATTGCAAGCTTGCCATCCCAACTGGTGTTCACACTTGCTTTCCCAGCTGATTGCAAGCTTGCCATCCCAACTGGTGTTCACACTTGCTATCCCAGCTGATTGCAAGCTTGCCATCCCAACTGGTGTTCACACTTGCTTTCCCAGCTGATTGCAAGCTTGCCATCCCAACTGGTGTCCACACTTGCTGTCCCAGCTGGTGTTCACACTTGCTTTCCCAGCTGATTGCAAGCTTGCCATCCCATCTAGTGTCCACACTTTCTGTCTTACTTGATTGCTAGCTTGCCATCCCAGCTAGTGTTCACACTTTCTGTCTTACTTGATTGCAAGCTTGCCATCCCAGCTAGTGTCCACACTTTCTGTCTTACTTGATTGCAAGCTTGCCATCCCAGCTAGTGTTCACACTATCTGTCTTACTTGATTGCAAGCTTGCCATCCCAGCTAGTGTTCACACTATCTGTCTTACTTGATTGCAAGCTTGCCATCCCAGCTAGTGTTCACACTTTCTGTCTTACTTGATTGCAAGCTTGCCATCCCAGCTAGTGTCCACACTTTCTGTCTTACTTGATTGCTAGCTTGCCATCCCAGCTAGTGTCTACACTTTCTGTCTTACTTGATTGCTAGCTTGCCATCCCAGCTAGTGTCCACACTTTCTGTCTTACTTGATTGCTAGCTTGCCATCCCAGCTAGTGTTCACACTTTCTGTCTTACTTGATTGCTAGCTTGCCATCCCAGCTAGTGTCCACACTTTCTGTCTTACTTGATTGCTAGCTTGCCATCCCAGCTAGTGTTCACACTTTCTGTCTTACTTGATTGCTAGCTTGCCATCCCAGCTAGTGTTCACACTTTCTGTCTTACTTGATTGCTAGCTTGCCATCCCAGCTAGTGTTCACACTTTCTGTCTTACTTGATTGCAAGCTTGCCATCCCAGCTAGTGTTCACACTTTCTGTCTTACTTGATTGCTAGCTTGCCATCCCAGCTAGTGTCCACACTTTCTGTCTTACTTGATTGCTAGCTTGCCATCCCAGCTAGTGTCCACACTTTCTGTCTCAGTGATCTCACATGGTGCTAAGCTGGATGTTTATGATTTGTGTCACAAACAATTTTTTTTTTTTTCAAATGAACATGTTGCGTGTCCAGGTCAGGACAGAAGCAGATGATTGACTTTCTTGTGTTTCTTCCTTTCAGAGACTTGTGGCAGCCAAGTGGTCTATGCTGGAGAAGCTGAGGTCAAGAGTAAAGGGCTGGGTTCAAACATTGAGGATCCTGCCTCATGTTTTAGCACCATTGCAGAGATCCAGCGCCTCATCATCACACTGGAGCAGGAGCATCTACAGTACATGCACTTTCTCCAGAGCAGGACTGTCATTGGATCAGTGTAAGTTCTTAGACAACTATTTACCAACATTGATACAGACAACTAGGACAGATCAACTGCAGACTGAATCATATGGAGCCAGACAGAAAAAAGATTAACTGTCACACTTTGCGAGTGGCCTTATGCAGAAAGCTGTAGAGAGGAGACGTCTGAGAGAGAGAAAACCAGCCGCAATCTAATAGAATATCATATTTTTATGTTGTCAGTTTGGCAGGGACTGCCAGCTCAGCCTATGAGAAAGATTGACATTCCATTACTCGCTGCCTGCCTCACACATTTTGTTTTGGCTGTCTTTAATTCTTTTGGGCAGTAACCTAAACAAACAATGCCAAAGACCAGTCATTTTAGAATTTCCAGTTTTCAAAATATTCCTTTAAAAACAAGCTTTATATAACAGAAAATCCTAATTTCTTTTTATGAACCAAAACAATCTTCAATTCCATGCACAGTAATGGGAGTAATCAAGAAACAGGAGTGGGGCAGAGAATTGATCGGGTTATATCTCTCGGAGCTTTACACAAAATGTTTACCGTGACCTCCTGATCCAGCCACCAGTTATCACTATAACTGATGGGAAATACTCATGTCCTAGTTTCTATCAATAAACCCATTTCCCACAAGCAAACCCCACCTACCTGATATTTTTATCAGCTGTGCTACTTACCGATCTCATATACACAAAACAAAAAACACATGGAAGGAGTACTGTTTTTGGGGCTCCTTTTAAACGAGCCTCTTTAGCGAGCCGAGAAAGGGACATTTACGTTGCCATGGCACAGATTGAAAGTGCCGAATTTTCTGCTTCTCTAGGCAAGAAAGTTAATACCAGTAAGTCCGCCATCATGATAGTCTGCCTCTGCCTCTTTCTGTCGGACCCATGCCTTAACATTATTGACTTGTCTAAACTAGCTGTGACCTGTTAAATAACCTGATTGTTTTAGGGATTCACCAATTGGAGATGGTAGCAGCAGTGACCTGGTGAGAAACATCAACAGGACTTCGGAGAGATTGAGCCGCCGCGGAAGTAAATCATCAAACACCAGCAGCATGAGCCGACAGTCAATACGTGCATGTCGCAGCCGAGGTAGCAGTTTCCAAGAGAGAGGCAAAGTCAATGCTGTGGCTGGAAATCACATGAAGAAATCTCAGAGCGGGGATTTCCACAGTCAGTCGGAGGCAATGCCTACATCTTCTAGTGTGGATAAGGAGGCAGCAGATAGTGCGGAGGATGAGGACAAAAGACCACCTCATACGAGTGGGGACAGCAACAAGTTTCGAGTAGCTCCACCTAACAGTCTTAGTTTGAAACATGCTATCGGTCAGTGTTCGTCTCCCCGGATGCTTTACCTCTACATAACGGACTGGGTCTCTCATCAGATAATCACACAGGGAGAGTAGCAGAGCATGTTTTCAGTAATAGTGATATTGACAACATAATACAAGATATGACAACAATGAATAATTCCATTGAGGGAAATGAACAGGGTACAGAAGCTGCTGTTGGTGAATCAGGAGCCAGTACTCCCAGTGATACAGAATCTACAGGACAAGATATTCCAGACAGGGTCTCTGGGCGTCCAGTTTATGATGATGACCCTGAGGTGACCAGCGGTCAGCAACATGGCCAGAACTGTCAGTTGTTGATGGATCCATCACTTAGTGAATCTGTAGACAATCAGTCTTGTCCAGCAGTTGATATTTCACCTGACCGGTCAGTTTGTGTGGAATCTGCCAGGATAGTTGATGTGCAGACAACAGAGACAGTCAGCAGAGACAAGTTTCAGACATGCACCAAACATATGACAGATGATATTGAGAGGCTAGCCAAGAGGGGAACCATTCAGGAATGTTCACTTCCCACGAGTGCAGATCTTCCCTCTCGTATTGTGAGCCCTGATAACAGAGACACACTTACAGCACATGATGATGATGTTTTTTTAAGATCATCAAACATTTTGCCACATAATAGATTTTGTGAGAATTTGCAGCTATCTGAAAAACCACAGCTTTTGGCTGACGCAGACATAAACACTGTGCCAGGTAGGATTTTGACAACTACAGAAGTTGAACACGATATTTCCAGCGCTTCAGACTACAGCCAAGTCATCAATAGTTGGCTGGAAGATGGACAGAAATGTGAAACTGCTCACCCTACTTCCTCTTCTTCTTCCCCTGCACAGAAGGCAACTGGGCAAATGAATGGCCAGTGTTACCTTTCTTCAAGGAGTGTGAATCCAAAACCATGTCATACAGATCCAAGAAGTGACGACACCCACAAATTCATGTCACAAATTCTGACAGACAGTTGTCCATTTGTAGTGTCAGATTCTCACGTGGAAGCCATGTTTGCATCAGGGGAGGCTGATCTATCCCAGGATGCATCTAACCAAATGGTCATCTTTATTTAGCCTTGCCTTCCGAGGGTGCATCCAATCAGTTTTATTTATGCTTTTGGTTCCTAGGACACAACCAATCAGACATTTACCTCTCCTAGTGTCTGTTTCAAGGATATATGAAATATATGAACATGGAGCAGCAACAAACATGTGAATAATATTGCACTTGTATAATCGACATCTGTGAACTAACAGCATAATTGCCATCTGTGTATACAAAGTTAATTGTACAGAAGCCATCATTAATTGATGATACATAAACATTGTGTACACATTGTGCTGTATACAGTGGGCTGTGTAGATTGTAAATGAAGACTGTATGAGATTGTTGACATGTGGTTTCTAGTATCATGGATCCATGGATTGGTGTAGCTATTGAATGCTTGCAGTTAATGTCTGCACCGTTCAACATATCAGACATTGATCAATTGTTTCCTGATCATCATAATATTTGTTTGAACAGATGAATGACTGTTTCTGAATCATCTCCTTCCTCTTCTTTGTTTACCGGCTATGAGATGTTGCAGAAAGGCTTGTTTGTTCTTCCATTTCGTCTTTGGTTTTGTGCCAGAACCTGACTTTTGCATGTACATCCGTTTTGTTGTTGTTGTTGCTTATTTGTGTTGATATAGCGGGAGTGCGGTGATGTCTGTTCTGAATTCATCTGATGTCATTCTATGAAACATATCTGATTGTGGATCTGTAAGCTGCAAGGATTCTATGTCAGTTAATCAAAGAAAGAATACTTTACTCAAGACAATCTGTTATATGCTTATTTGTCAGAATGCTTCATCTGTGACACTGACTAGCTTGACATGAAGGACAGACGAGGGCCAGATCTGTTTAAAGATTTCTGTTTTTATTTATTTAACAATGGTAATACAAGGCCTACCCCCTGCAGACTACATCATCATCAAAACACATGTCTAAACACACGCACAGGTGTGTTCCTTGTGCTAATTGAGGAGATTAATTCAGCACATTGATTAGCAATATCTTGCCAACAGACGGATCATAAGATGGTCTCTCATCCTGGTCCACTTGTTTGAACCCATGGAACTGGCATGAGTTCAGCCATAAGACTGTCATGCTTTAATTATGATGCTGGGGGCTCATATTTGTTTCCTTATTTAAGATCCCTCACTGACCACCTGACATCCCATCCTTCACTGAACACCTGACATCCCATCCTTCACTGACCACCTGACATCCCATCCCTCACTTACCACCTGACATCCCATCCTTCACTGAACACCTGACATCCCATCCTTCACTGACCACCTGACATCCCATCCATCACTGATCACCTGACATCCCATCCCTCACTGAACACCTGACATCCCATCCTTCACTTACCACCTGACATCCCATCCTTCACTGAACACCTGACATCCCATCCTTCACTGAACACCTGACATCCCATCCCTCACTGACATCCCATCCCTGACTTACCACCTGACATCCCATCCTTCACTGACATCCCATCCCTGACTTACCACCTGACATCCCATCCTTCACTGACATCCCATCTCTGACTGACCACCTGACATCCCATCCTTCACTGACATTCCATCTATGACTGACCACCTGACATCCCATCCCTCACTGACATCCCATCTCTGACTGACCACCTGACATCCCATCCCTCACTGACATCCCATCTCTGACTGACCACCTGACATCCCATCCCTCACTGACATCCCATCTCTGACTGACCACCTGACATCCCACCCCTCACTGACATCCCATCCCTCACTGACTTACCACCACCTGACATCCCATCACTTCACCTGACATCCCATCCCTGACTTAACCACCTGACATCCCATCCCTTCACTGACTGAAACACCTGACATCCCATCTCATGAACACTGATCCCATCCCTGACATCCCATCCCTCACCTGACATCCCATCCCTCACTGACCACCTGACATCCCATCCCTCACTGACATCCCATCCTCTGACTGACCACCTGACATCCCACATGAACACCCATCCCATCCTTCACTGACACCTGACATCCATCCTCACTGACTGACATCCCATCCTTCCACACCTGACATCCCATCCTTCACTGACATCCCATCCCTCACTGACCACCTGACATCCCATCCTTCACTGACCACCTGACATCCCATCCTTCACTGAACACCTGACATCCCATCCTTCACTAACCACTGACATCCCATCCCTCACTGACCACCTGACATCCCATCCCTCACTAACCACCTGACATCCCATCCCTCACTGACATCCCATCCATCACTGACCATCCCATCCTTCCTCCACTGACATCCTCACTAACCCCTGACATCCATCCACTGACATCCCATCCCCTCACTGACATCCCATCTCTGACTGACCACCTGACATCCCATCCCATGACCCTCACTGACTAACCACATCCCATCCCTCCTTCACTGATCCCACCTTGACATGACATCCCAT